ATCAGCAATCGGCTTCGATTGAACCAGGAAGACTACATATAAATCAAAATTCGGCCAGTCCCTGTTATATTGACCACATTTCGATCTATGTGTACTCAATTCAAAACTAAAAACAGTTTGAGCAGGCAAATTAACATTTGTGAATGCACATCAGAAAGACATGTCATAATATAAACTATATAAGTCTGGACAGTTTACCCCCAACTATGACAGAAAACACAACTGATCCATAAAATAGGAAAAAAAAATGTGCACATATCAATGTGGTGTTTTTTTTTTTTTCAAAATACAAGTGTAGAAATACCACAATTATATATTTTTTAGTAGTATGTGCCTGACTGAACCTATCATTTATGTGAGGGTGTTAATGTTCAATGTTGTTCCAGTCTGTGATACCAAAAAAGTGTGAATGGAGTCAAAAGATATATAAATTACTGCTGTATTCAATCATTACCTGTGACCCATACTCATTATCAAGAATCAGATAGCAATGAATCATTTAACACTTATCTCAATTCCCCACATTGAAAAAAAAATCAATCCTATTAACAAATTCAACCATAAAAAGTGACATGTTTCACATTGGCACCAAGCATTCTTAAAAATTATGCAGTTGCTTGACTTGCATTCAGTAAATAGGATTAATCTGGCAGACGTTAATGATATTTGACCACTTCATTAAATATACACTGTAGTAATTTTACAACATAAAGTAATTGAAAATTGCCTTCCATACAGTTATATTTCTGAAGTTCACACACAGTCTTTACAAATGAAATATAATGCATGCATGGCATGCCATTCTGAAATGCCTAACATTTATAGATCACCCTGAGCTACAAGACAAACTACAATGTCAAATACTACCACACATTTCATTCTCCAGAACCATCAGTTATAAAATCTTGACCTACCTTCTTTACATTATACATTCCGCAGACATTATTAAATTAGCTGTCATGTGCTCAGAGGTTCCCATTGCTTGGGGTCATCCAAGCCTGCAAAAATCTACATTTAACAGCAGTTGCAGAAGCTATATCTGCTGCAACAATGGTGCCAACCAACTACTCCACATATAGTTCTACATAACATAAAAACTCTCTAATATTTCCACACTTTGCTTTTATTTTTGATCAAAACAATTCAAGTACACAACCCCCTATTCAGAATTTCAAAATACATTGCTGATCCAGAGAAAGGCAAAAAAATGATATCATGGTGCAATTTGTTTAAAGACCATGTCAAGGCCAAAAAAAATAGAATGCAAGCACATATATCTTTAAACATGATGCAAGCACAGAAAAAAATGTTGAAGTGCCAGAAATATAGTGTATAGGAGATGTCTATTTTCTTTGTATTCTATTAGAAATGACGTAGGCAAGGCTGACACCGCAAAACTAAAAACGTGAAACTGGTGAGTGCAAAATGTGGTGCAGCTCTGAATAGAAACCAGCAAGCTTCCATGTTTTATTGCCAAATCTTAATTGAACAAGCTGACATTAGAAGCTGCTTGGTTACTATGCACATCTGCACCAGATTCTGAGTGCACCAGTTTTAGTAAATAACCCCCCATGTGTGTAAGAATTCAAAGCTGTGTCAAAGGTTACACAGCTTTGAATTCCTATGCACTTGGTGTCAGCCCTGCCTACTTCCTTTCTGATGGATTAGAAAGAACGCAGACCACTCCTGATCCCCTCCTATTTTCATAACTTTTCCTTGTACACAAGCAAAGAGCACAGGAAGATTTTTGGCAAAAACAGTTTTTTGCAATTATTGAAGATATAGTAAAAGATATAGCAAAACACTTTCAATGGTAAATATAGCCAACCAGGATGGAACAAATAGGATAAGCTCATTATTAAGGTTTACATACAGTGGGGCAAAAAAGTATTTAGTCAGCCACCAATTGTGCAAGTTCTCCCACTTAAAAAGATGAGAGAGGCCTGTAATTGGCATCATAGGTAGACCTCAACTATGAGAGACAAAATGAGAAAAAAAATCCAGACAATCACATTGGCTGATTTGGAAAGAATTTATTTGCAAATTATGGTGGAAAATAAGTATTTGGTCAATATCAAAAGTTCATCTCAATACTTTGTTATAGATCCTTTGTTGGCAATGACAGAGGTCAAACGTTTCCTGTAAGTCTTCACAAGGTTGGCACACACTGTTGCTGGTATGTTGGCCCATTCCTCCATGCAGATCTCCTCTAGAGCAGTGATGTTTTGGGGCTGTCGATGGGCAACACGGACTTTCAACTCCCTCCAAAGCTTTTCTATGGGGTTGAGATCTGGAGACTGGCTAGGCCACTCCAGGACCTTGAAATGCTTCTTACGAAGCCACTCCTTCGTTGCCCGGGCAGTATGTTTGGGATCATTGTCATGTTAGAAGACCCAGCCACGTTTCATCTTCAATGCCCTTGCTGATGGAAGGAGGTTTGCACTCAAAATCTCACGATACGTGGCCCCATTCATTCTGTCCTGTACATGGATCAGTCATCCTGGTCCCTTTGTGGAGAAACAGCCCCAAAGCATGATGTTGCCACCCCCATGCTTTACAGTAGGTATGGTGTTCTTTGGATGCAACTCAGCATTCTCTCTCCTCCAAACACGACGAGTTGTGTTTCTACCAAACAGTTCTATTTTGGTTTCATCTGACCATATGACATTCTCCCAATCCTCTTCTGGATCATCCAAATGCTCTCTAGCAAACTTCAGACGGGCCCGGACCTGTACTGGCTTAAGCAGGGGGACACGTCTGGCACTGCAGGATCTGAGTCCCTGGCAGCGTAGCATGTTACTGATGGTAGCCTTTGATACGTTGGTCCCAGCTCTCTGCAGGTCATTCACTAGGTCCCCCCGTGTGGTCCTGGGATTTTTGCTCACCGTTCTTGTGATCATTTTGACCCCACGGGGTGAGATCATGCGTGGAGCCCCAGATCGAGGGAGATTATCAGTGGTCTTGTATGTCTTCCATTTTCTAATTATTGCTCCCACAATTGAATTGTTCACACCAAGCTGCTTGCCTATTGCAGATTCAGTCTTCCCAGCCTGGTGCAGGTCTACAATTTTGTTTCTGGTGTCCTTCGACAGCTCTTTGGTCTTCACCATAGTGGAGTTTGGAGTGTGACTGTTTGAGGTTGTGGACAGGTGTCTTTTATACTGATAACAAATACAAACAGGTGCCATTGATACAGGTAATGAGTGCAGGACAGAGGAGCCTCTTAAAGAAGAAGGTACAGGTCTGTGAGAGCCAGAAATCTTGCTTGTTTGTAGGTGACCAAATACTTATTTTCCACCATAATTTGCAAATAAATTCTTTCCAAATCAGCCAATGTGATTGTCTGGATTTTTTTCTCATTTTGTCTCTCATAGTTGAGGTCTACCTATGATGCCAATTACAGGCCTCTCTCATCTTTTTAAGTGGGAGAACTTGCACAATTGGTGGCTGACTAAATACTGTTTTGCCCCACTGTACACTTAAGCCCTGGTTCACACTGATGCGGTGCTGAATTTGCAGCGTTTCCAGTGCGAATTCCGCACCGCTTCAGAATCGCACCCCATTCATGCGAACCGCTGCAGGTGTGTATGCTAAGTTAACAACACCCCGAGTGGTCTGCAAAACGCGGTGCGATGTGCAGAATTGGATCGCATAGATGTGAATACCAATGCAATCCAAACCAATGCAATCCAATTCTAGTGCGGACCTAAAAAAGGATCCTGCATGTTTTTGGTGTGGGTGCGGTGTGAATAGAGCCATACAATATGTATGGCTCCAATCGCACCGCACACAAATCGCATGTGATTTGCACAGCAATGCGGTGCGGTTCCTGTGCGAATCACATGCGATATACGGAGCTGCACAAATGTGAACCTGGGCTTAAGCAGGGAAAACATCCTTCCTGATCCCACAAAACAATTAAACAACATTTTATTATGCATGTCCTGTTAATACAAATAATCATCATTATTAGCGATTTTAGAAAGCATTTTAAAGCAATATAGAGAGTCATCTTAAACCAGCGCCTGTGAAAGATTCTACCTTTTCAAAGCTATTTCTCTACAGTATATAACCCTAAAAAGAGTTTTTATTGAGCTTTCCATAGGATTAAATAGAAAGTGTAGTAAATTTACTAAAGCTGGAGCACTCAGAATCTTGTGCAGCTGCACATGGTAGCCAATCAGCTTCTAACTTCAGCTTGTTCAAGTAAGCTTTGACAATAAAACTTGGAAGCTGATTGGTTTCTATGCAGGGCTGCACCAGATTTTGCATGCTCCAGTTCTAGTAAATCAACCCCTGTGTGTTTTAATTTGACAAACACAGCTCTAGATGGGAACACGCACATAAAGGTATCATGCTGGTGGGTGCTCACCATCTTTAAGAGCATTATCTCACTAAATTAGGGACAGGTGAGCATAAAGGCCAATCCTGACAGGCTTCAGAGATCATTCAAAAATATTTGCAGATGCAACTGACCAGATGTGGGTGCTTTAGCATTCCTTTAGACAGGCAGAAAAGCTTGTTGACACTGACCCTTAGGCTGGCCATAGACCAAGTGAAATGTAGTCGAGTCAGCAGGGATGCTAGATCATTCAATTAACTTCTTTTGAAAGGACACACTGGTAAACTTTTGCTGAACAGCAGCTACAACCAATGATCAGTGCATTCTGACAGAGGAGAATTCCACTGTTCCTTCATCCACATCGTTGTGTGGATGGAGGAATCCATTTTTTTTCATTCAGCCCAGTGGTTGAACGAAAAAAACAGATCCATTGATGACCAGCTAAAAGCTTACAAGAGGCATGGGGGGGGGGGCAACATTATATAACTGTAATCAATGGTAATGTTACACTTTACATCAAAAATTCTCTACTTTTTTAGTAAAGGAACATTTTTATTTTTAGAGTGTTATTTGTGTTTATTAACTGCTCCCAACTGCCCTGTGGCAGAAATACTGCTACAGGGCAGCACGGGTGTGCAAAATCACGTATATATGTGTGGTTTTGCATTTCCGAGCATGCCGCGCGCTCCCTACCCACGTTGCCATTCGCGGCTGTGGCTGTCAATCACTGGGTCCTGCCATCCAAAGCAGTGTAATTACAGTGAAGCACACAGACACCACTCCCTAGTAAAACACTCCCAGCAGACAGTTAACCCTTTGATCGCCCTTCATGTTAACCCCTTCCTGCCCAGTGTCATTAGTACAGTGTCAGTGCTTTTTTTTAGCACTGATCACTGTATTGGTGTCACTGTGGATGTCAGTGACACCAAGTCAGTTCCCCCAGTGTCAGAATGTCTGCCGCAGTCCCGCTATAAGTCGCTGATCGCCGCCATTACTAGTAAAAATAGAAAATAAAGAAAAAATCCCAGTATATATATATATATCTCCATTTATAAACGCAGGAACTTTCACATAAACCAATTAATTTACATGTATTGGGATTTTTTTTTTAGCAAAGACATGTAACAGAATACATTTTGGTGTAAATTTATGACAACATTTTTTTAAATTTTTTTTTACTGGACATGTTTAACAGCAAAAAGTCAAAAATGTTTTTAAAAAAAAAACCACACTAGTTATCAAATACCATTGAAAGAAAGCTCAATTTGTGGAAAAAAAAGGCTGTAAATTTCATAGGGGTGCAGTGTTGCATGACCGCCGTAACGCAAAAAACGGCCTGGTCAGGAAGGGGGTAAATCCTCTGGAGGGCAACTGGTTAACCACCTCCCACCCGCCATATAGTCCAATGACAGGCGCAAGGTGGTTCTCCTGTTCTGGGAGGACGTAATATGACGTTTTCCCATTGTCACCGCGCATGCTCACCGATCATGGAAAGAGCCGAAGATGTCGGCTCGGTCATGTGATCAGCTGTGTCCAATCAGAGCTGATCACATGTAAACAGGGAAATGCTGGTTATCGGCATTTCTCTCCTCTCGAGCTGTCACGTTGAAAGCTCAAGAGGAGAAGAGAGCAGGTAATCGGCTTTCCGCGGAGGGGACATGTACACTGGTCATCAGGACACTGATGATCAGTGTGCCCTGATGATCAGTGTAGCCCCAGCAGTGCCACCTGTCAGTGTCCATCAGTGCCTTGTGTCAGTGCTCATCAGTGCCAGTGCCACATCAATGCCAAATATCAGTGCCTACCAGTGCACATCAATGTCACATATCAGTGCCCATCTGAGCTGCCTTTCAGTGTCACCTATCAGTGCCACCTATCAATGCCAATCAGTGCTGCCAATCAGTGCCGCCTATCAGTGCCATGTATCAGTGCTGCCTTTCAGTGCCCATCAGTGATGCCTGTCAATGCCCATCAGTGCCACCTACCAGTGCCTCCTCATCAGTGCCACCTATCAGTGTCCATCAGTGCAGCCTCATTAGCGCATATCAGTGAAGAAAAAAACATCACTTATTTACAAAATTTTATAACAAAAACTAAGAAAAAACTTTTTTTTTCCAAAATTTTCTGTGGTTTTTGGTTTGTTTAAGAAAAATTAAAAAACCCCGAGGTGATTAAATACCACCAAAATAAAGCTCTATCTGTCACAAAAAAATGATAAATTTCATATGGGTACAGTGTTGTATGACCGCACAATTGTCATTCAAAGTGTGACATTGCTGAGAGCTGGAAATTGGCCTGGGCAGGAAGGGAGTATAAGTGCCCTGTAGGCTAGTGGTTAAAGGAGTACATTATTTATATATATATGTTTTGAAAACCCAAGCACAGAGGGAAACAAATTAGATATTCTTTACACATTTATGCTGCAGTGCATACAGCTTTGATGAACAGAGTGAAAATGTGCTGCTAGTAGGTCATCCTATTGTCTCAGTCCTGCAAAGCTGACTAAGTGGAAAATTTCCAACAGGGTGGTTGAAGAGAATTTGATCAGGAGATTGGCTTCTCTTTAACCGCCTCCTGCCCGCCATATAAGGAAATGATGGATGGGCGGTGGTTCTCCTGTTCTGGGAGGACGTCATATGACGTCCTCCAATTCTAAGCATGCGTGCGCTCCTACAGGGGGAGCGCAGCGTGGCGATCGGTGGTGCCCAGGGACACAGCGGATCACCGATCAGCGGAAAGAGCTGATGACTTCGGTTCTGTCATGTGATCAGCTGTATCCAATCACAGCTGATCACATGTAAATAAGGAAATGCCACTTATTGGCATTCTTCTCCTCATGAGCTGTCACACTGACAGCTCGTGATGAGAGGAGAGCCGGTAATTAGAATTCCTCAGAGGGGACATCTACACTGATCATCAGGGCACTGATGATCAGTGCTCTGATGATCAGTGTAGCCCCATCAGTGCCACCTGTCAGTATCCATCAACGCCACCTATCAGCGCCCATCAATTCCACCTGCCAGTGCCCATCAGTGCATATCAATGCCACATATCAGTGCCTACCACTGCACATCAATGCCACATATCAGTGCCCATCTGAGCTGCCTTTCAGTGCCAGTCAGTGCCACTTATCAGTGCCAGTCAGTGCAGCCTATTATTATTATTATTATACAGTATTTATAAAGCGCCAATAGTTTACTCAGAGCTGTGCCTATGAGTGCCGCCAATCAGTGCCACCTATCAGTGCTAGTCAGTGCCGCCTATCACTGCCACTTAGTGTCACCTATCAGTGCCCGTCAGTGCCGCTCAAGAGTTACAGTCACTGCCACCTAACAGTGCCAGTCAGTGCTGCCTATCAGTGCATCCTATCAGTGCCATATATGAGTACTGCCTTTCAGTGCCCATGAGTGATGTCTGTCAATGCCCACCAGTGATGCCTGTCAATGCCCATCAGTGCCACCTACCAGTGCCTCCTCATCAGTGCCCATCAGTGGTGCCTATTAGTGCCCATCAGTGAAGCCTACCAGTGCCCATCACTGCAGCCTCCTTAGCGCACATCAATGAAGGAAAAAAATTACTCATTTATAAAATTTTATAACAGAAACTAAGAAAAAAACTTTTTTTTCCAAATTTTCAGTTGTTTTTGGTTTGTTTAGGAAAAAATAAAAAACCCAGAGGTGATTAAATACCACCAAAAGAAATTTCTATCTGTCCCAAAAAAAATAAAAATGTCATATGGGTACAGTGTTGCATGGCCACACAATTGCCATTCAAAGTGTGACAGCACTGAAAGCTTAAAATTGGCCTGGGCAGGAAGGGGGTGAAAGTGCCCTGTAGACAAGTGGTTAAACAGAGTCATACATGGATCGAAATTCGTCCAGTCCCTGCTGAACCAGCTGAATTTCAGTGGTTAGCCATCTCTAGTTTAGCAAAGAGTGTTACATAAAGACCTGTCACTACCACGTGTTTGTTTTCAGTAACTTAAGCTGGCCACACATGGATTGAAATTCAGCCAGTTCAGTAGAGACCAGCCATATTTTGGTCCATGTATCGGCAGGATGGTTGTACACAAGTCGATCTAGTTGCACACTGCTACTCCACTATACAAGATAACAATTCAACTAGCTTTATAGAGGCATACCAAAGGAATAACAAAGGTAATAGGATTTGCCTTGTACAGTCTGTTTGTAGGCCAATTTTTTTTAAAAACAGATTAAAGCAGTATTCAACCCCAAAGCAAGCATTTTTTTTATATTGCAGCCTACCAGTTCTTAGGTGTGATGACTACATTTGTTTTCTTTAGGTTTTCTTTCCCTTATTTTCATCCTGTGATCTGGCCAGTAAGTCTTATTTTTCAATAGAACAAGCTCTCTTGCAGATGTAGCAGTTACAGGGACGAGACAAACTATTTAACACTGAGAGGGGTCCTTAAAATGATCAGCTTTTATTTATGTTAAACTTTTATCTCAAAAGGAGCAAAACTATTTGCTGTAACTGCTGTATGAGTTGGAGTTTGGCTTCAATTTGTAAGTGTATCTAAATCTGCACGTACATCTAACACTCCCCTCCCACCAAACTGACAATACTGCTGTCCAAATGTGCCCCTGTGCTCCATCTACAGTATATGCACTCTAATAAAAGATTTGTGTTACTGTCCAGATCACAAGATGAAAACAGAGGTGAAAAGGCCTATAAATAAAATGAATGCAGCCTCCACATCTGATGATTGGTAACCTGCATTATCATACATTTTTGGTTTTGGGTTTAATACTGCTTTAATGTATGGTTGTTAAGGGGCCATACAGATATTTATATTTTAAGCACTTTGATAAATGAGTCCTAATGTCAGAAAGTTAGATCTAAATATCATTGGGTTTTGTTGAGTATGGAATTTGAGAGAATAAGCAGTGGAGAAAAGGACTGTTCTGTGTGTCCAGCCAGTCATGTGAAAGAGTTATTTCTTGTCATAGATAATACACCTTAGGTTGTAATTGTAGATGCTTATGACTCTGAAACATCTCAGTTCTCACATATGGCCTCATCTATAAATGCATGCTAAGTAAGAGCTTATGATGTGTACCCAAAAGCAGCCAACCTAATCCCAATACACACAAACAGATAACTCAAATTCTTTCACTTTCCTGTACAGCATCAGATCAGTTGTGTTGTAAGCAGAGGCGGACTGACATTTGGAAACTTGGGCACTGCCCGAGGGCCGGGGGTCAGTAGGGGGGCCCCATGAGATGCCCCTGGTACCTTTTCCATAGGCTTTTTTGAGTTTGGGCAAGGACACAAGGGGCCCCATGATCCCCTATTGCCCGAGGGCCCCATGAGTTGTCAGTCTGCCCCTGGTTGTAAGGCAATACAATGCAGACAATTTTTGATTCACAAACCATGAGAAATGAGGTAGGAATTTCTCTAATGTCTGACCATTATCTAATGGGTTAAAAGCAGATATTAAAAGTGAAATAACAAACATGCTATACTTACCTACTGTGTGCAGTGGTTTTGCACAGAGCACCCTCGATCCTCCTCTTCACAGATCCCCCGCAGGCCCTCCTGGCTCCTCCTGTCTATCGGGTGCCTCCACAGCAAGCAGCTTTCTGTGGGGGCACCTGCTGCTCCGTGTGTCCATTCACACATGGAGCCGTGGCTTGGCCCCGCCCCTCCCTCCTCATTGGCTGATTGGCTGCGATTTCCAGCTTGCTGTCTCTGCCAATGAGGAGGCAGAAACTCAGAGCAGCCAAGGCTGTCATTCACATCGCTGGATTGTGATGGGGCTCAGGTAAGTATTGAGGGGGCTGGGGGCACTGCTGCATACAGAAGGTTTTTTCACCTTCATGCATAGAATGCATGAAGGTAAAAAACCTTCAGCCTTTACAACCACTTTAAAGTATGTTTTTTTTTTTTTAAACGTAATAGGGAATGGTTAAGACCCTGTCAGAATGTATTTATTTATTTACTTTTTGTGTATGATCACTTTCTGTCCTTAAAGCTGGGTACACACTATAGGCAAATCGGGTTACCGATCATCTGGTTTTCCTCAATGTTTTTTTTGTTTGACGTAGAAATATTATAGCATAGATTATTGTTCTTTATTGTTTCTGATCATGGGCAGTCTTTCATATCTGATTTTTCTTGAGTGAAAACAGTACAAATTAAACAAAAAATTGTAGTTCTGTTCACGGAAAATTTCTTTAGTTTTTCCATTTGAAAATTTTCTTTTGGAAAGTCTGAATTGGATGTCAAAAGTTGTGTACAACACTAAAATCAAACAATCATTCCTCGTACAGAATATTTCTTCTAAATTTCTCATATTATGTACCCCACTAGAGTCACAGGAGGAGACAAGAGGAGATTTTTGCAAAGTGATAGGATTTATTCCTCCTAGACAGTTGTTACTATATCAGGTTTCCCCATTGGAATATTTTTCTTCCCCTTCTGCGACAAATGGAACATTTTTGGAATTTCTCATCCCATGGAGACAATGGTCACCATGATGACAAATATCCAGAGCAGATAGACAGACAGAAAAAATAACGACAAAGGCTCCAACCCTTCTGCTTTCTACTCAAAAATGTAAAAAAAAATGACTTTACATACACTTTAACAGTACAGTAGAATGGTGTTCACTTCATCTATTCTATCATCTGCAAGGATGTTTTTAATATATTTCCTCTTCACATGATTGGGCACTCAAGGGGGACACAGCTTTACTGCATTGGTGAAAATAGCCAAACATTCTTTACTCATTTAGTAAATCATCCGATTTGTCTACATCCAGCTGTAAACTACACTGTGTTTTAAAAATTCTTTCTCCTCCTGATTCAGCAATATGCCTCATTTGAACAAAGAAACAGAACAAATATGTTACACCTCGGTTTATATAACACTCTGCATGGTGTAAGATCCCCACAGC